TATATATATATATATATATATATATATATACAGCAAAAATGATCAAGCCATTGAATCCATTGGAGGTTCTAGGATCGGAGATGACAAGTTTCATAACTGTAGTGTTGGACCAAAGTTACAGTCACTTCGTGAGTATGGTCTTTCAGCCTCAGTATAATTGGTTTCCGAAGCCATAAATGAGACAAGTTTTGATAATGCATGCATTGACTGTGCATGGACTGTGCAGAAACTTGGCGTTAAGTACTTTTTTGGGTTAGGTCGCAACCATATACACCGGCAATATACGTGGTGTTTACGTCTGTTTAGGCGATGCTCAGCCGTACATCGCAGATTGTTAGCTTCAACCGGGAATCGGCTAGGACGAAGGGCGCTACTGTAAGTTTGAGATTTTTCTTTTGGCCGTCGAAACGCACCCTTTCCACGAACTAATACACTATGGAAGTCAACATATGACGTCCGGTATAATTGGGTTACCCCCATCCTAAACTTGACCACATTGCTAGTTTGAATTTGAAACGGTGTCATACTGAGACGGCTCCAAACTGTGGGGCGGCGCAGAGAGCACTGAAAGCTACTAGCTGTCCGAACATAAAACAAGGAGTCACCCCATATTGTAAGCGAGAAAATCACCATAATCGGATTCAATCCCCAAAGTACGCGCTCTTTAACGTCGAACATCCGACTCTGGCACTCACATCCCAAGTTGTAGAGCGCATATCTAGTTTAGGCAAAGCGAACATAGGGTCCAAATTCGACCGTACAAGGACTGCCGTTTATTGAGTCATGTGGCTACCACAAAAACGCAATGTTCACCTCTATGTGCTTTGTTGGAGGGATCGAGTCGTAGACGGGTACCTCACGAACGGAAACGCGTGCTATAGTCCATCAAAATCTATCTAGCCATTGAGGCACAGTAGATCAGTTTGACCAAATCTTTAGCGAACGACCAAATATAGAAGTACTGATAGATTATAGGCAGGAAGGTGGTGCCACAGCCCAAACTGATGATCACTTATGTGGGCGCTGCTTTCAGCACTGCACAGTTGTTTGACCTGGACGGGTCTGAGAATTTCAACGCTTCTGAATGCCGACAAACACCGTAGTGGTGTATTATGTAGTGTTCAAACCCTGATCCCTGTTGCCTTTTTATAATAGAAATGAGGATATACAATTCACTCGAGAAAAAGACTAAAATGTTTCAAAAACTCACGTTTGTGCATGTCACAATACGTAACGTAGCACCGCGGGTTGACATTTCATGAAGGTTGTAAGCAGTGGAGGAGATTCTGGATCCATTCCCAGGGAGGTTGTGACGGGTTTTGGCTAACTGAAAACGACCAAGAGCTGTGAACGCTCAACTTTTAAAAACAAATTACCCAAAGAGTCTTCCAAATGATGATGCAAGGCTAGGATCTGTGACAAAGTAGTGAGATGCTCTACGATGAGTTTGTCGATTTCGTCATCGGACATTGAAAAAGAGCCAAGCAACTGAAGTGAGAAAGAATATCAGCCAGAGTTGTTATGGAACTATCTACATGCCCCGAGTAACAAGGCTGTATTGTATTAGTAGAGAACAGCGGTCCATAGAAACGAGAAATTCAACGTGAAATGCTGTTTGAAATTGTGATACCAACACAACGGCGACAACAGACAACTGTACACATGTAGCTTCCAAGAGGAGTACCTTTAATTGGGCACTCTGTATTATCCAGCCAAGAAAGTAGCCAAGTATATTACATTCAGTCTCATCGACTTCTTCGATATCGAACTATTGTACTCTTCATAATATAAAAGTGGGAAGTTAGGGTTTGTTGTAGTTTTTTTTACTTATGAGCTGTTAGACAGTAACCTGGGAGTTTAATCTATCTTGTTCTCATCTCCCCGAAATGACGTATGTACCGGGATTGCTTATCGCAACGGTAGATAGCATTCTCGTTGCAATGAGTGTCCACAATCAACTTATCAGATATAAATAGCGTACCATGGGTGCATTGGTTAAAGCTGCTGTAGCTTCTATCACTGGAAAGTGGGGGTGTCCACACTCGTAGATGATTCTCTCTTCTGAAATAAAAATCAGCCTGCACTTTGAAGCGTAAGAATGCGCGTAGTGCTCACTTACAACTGCATATAGACCACTGGTTTTGTGCGGCCTTGCATGAGTTCAGTCTTACACGCGTCCAGTTAGGGAACAGCACGCGGAGTGTGACTTTACGATAGTCAGCAAATTCATTTAGGAATACTTCCGACTAAGATAAAGGAAAAGATAACCGTTCAGCTGTGACAACCGTTCGGTGCCTAGCAGTCATGCCACCCAAAGGAAACACGAGGACTGGGATACTGCCAAGTTGCTCGAGCCTAGACAGCTGAAGTCGAGAGGCAGATGTTGGATTCCAACAACGGACCATCCGGCCAGCAAATTCGCGACCTACCTACTGGGCTGTCTTGCATACTCAATGTCCGAAAACCTCTACTCTCATAAATATGGAGAAATCGAGTGCCTACTCCAGTACATCGTCAAGCGCTAATTAACAAAAGAAAGCACACCCTCTGCAGACCCATTCGAGAACACCTGAGATACCTGACAGTATAAGGAATTACCGAATGTATTTTTTCGCGAGGCGAACAATTCCACGGAGTAGTTCTTTTAGCTGACCGAAACAGAGAGGGTAAAACCTTTGCAGAATCAGAGCTACAGTCTGTTGGAGCGTATGCTGATGATAAACAAACACTACTTATCACATCGACGTTAACTAAATCAGACAACGCAAAGACGATGTTTTACTGAAATTCAGTCCAGCAAAGCGCCTTCATCCTAGGGGTTGAGTGCAATTCCCACACCATAGATTCCACCAGCCATCGAGTAAAGATCACTAGATACCGAACAGTAAAAGGCGAAACATCTGATCTCGTCCTAAGCGGCTTGAGGTGCATGACCGAAGTGGTGTCTTGTGTGCGTGTTTCGGAGACACATTATTCATCGACAAAGAGGGAAAGCAAGGTTTCAGTAAGAGGCGCCTGTAGCCCAATTTGACATAGAGTACAGACTTCGAACAACAACTGTCATGGCCACCAGCCGGCACCCATCTAGAGCTCACAGATGAAGTGGAACACTGGACGGTGAGCGTTGAACCACCTACGGCCTCGGAGGTTTACGACTGCATATGTTCCCTCAAGCGTCACCGAGCTCCCTGTCCGGATGACCTTCCACCCGCACTGTTCAAAGACGGCGGTGAAGTCCTCAGTCAGCGCTTGTCCGATCTGTTTGCTTGCATTTGGGAAAAGGAGTCTGTCCCAGATAACTGGGGAGAATATGTGATAGTGCCCGTTTTCAAAAAAGGGGCGCGTAGTGAGTGCGGTAACCACACGGGGATCAGCTTGAATCCGGTTGTTACGAGACTGTTGGCGTCACTTGTGCTTCGTCGCCTTACGGTGGCTCGTGAGATACTGACTCGAGAACAGCAAGCGGGATTCCGGCCTGGTAGGGGTTGTGTTGACCAAATCTTCACACTGCGTCAGGTGCTAGAACAACGTCATACGTATAAGCGACCCACGATTCTAGTATTCCTGGATTTCCGAGGCGCATTCGACTAGGTTGATCGGTCTGTTCTTCTTGAGACGCTTGCCCACCA